CCATAGGTGCAGCATATGTATCCTTATCTGGGAACTGCATCAGGGTGCTCCTCACACTCTAATAATGCTTAGAGTAACCCTTTACTACATTACCCACAAAGAGGTATGGTGATAGATAAAGTGGTTCACAAATGGAATTGCAACACCGAAAAAAAGTCAACACTAAAAGGCAAAAAGTTTAGTTCCTGAAATGAGAGATCAAGGCTGGAATTTTGTATTGCTGATTATTGATGTGTCTGTTAGTGCAACATCATATAGTGTTTTACCTAAACATTTCTCTACATTGCTTCATAATGATCTTTTTGTGTTTACTTGCAGTGTTTTGGACTGTCCTCATCCTTTTAGTGGAAGTCTGTACACCTAATAAACAAAATGATAAATACTATAGCCCATCAGGGAATGTAACTAGCGAACTTGCATCAGTTTGCTGCACATTTGATCAATTGGCCTCATCATGTCAGCAGCAGGCAAGGAGTCTATTTGATATTCACTAATAATTTTAACATTAAACCCAATGCCACAGTTTTTACTAAGACATGTGTGTCCAATTTTCCTGATTGTCTGTTGCCTGATCAATATTAAATGTAATTTACAATTCTGTCCCTTGCGAAGCCTGCATATGTTATGTCAACATACCTTAATAGCTTTGGCTTCCTGAGCTGCCTTGTTAGCCACAGCCTCATCTGCTTCAACTAAACTTTTAACGGCTTCCACATCTAAAGTCTCATCTGCGATGATGTTTACCAACTCTTCAGTCTCTCTGCTCCGTTCAATCAGCATTGGCTTGAGCTCTGTCAACTCTTGTTGCATGATTGCTATCTGATGAGCCAAAAAGATAAAGATGTAAAAAGGTACATCTCACAAATATTATGACAAAATATCATACCAGACTTTACCCACTTAATGTTCTAAAAAGAAAATATCCACTTTATAAATAATAAAAAAAGGATTTACTTGTGAAACCACTTGATGCACTTTTCTGTGTTAATATTTAGTTTATTTTTCAGGATAATGGTCCGTGCTAAAATTTACATATTTACACAAGGTTTAGCGCCTTATATTTTGACTTACTTAGATACAATAATCTAAAATTAAACCAACCTATTTCAAAGAGAAATTATCAGAGTATAAAAATGAAGGATCGTGATAAATAAAACTGCTAAAGTTCCTTTCACTCAAGAGATGTCTCTTCACTCAAGATAATTTAGAAGGAATGTCTACATATGCAGGTGGGGTAAGACAATGAAAGACCTTTTGTGAGATATTCTTGAGTAAACACATAATAAATTGAGAAACGACAGGATTTAGCATGACTCGGGAGCTTTTAGGTCTCTGTGTGAGACATGATGTGTAGATATCCTGTGGGATAGAGCCTAGATTTTATGTGTGTATTACCTAAACAAGCCAAAATAGTGGGGATATTGTCTAAAAGAGGTTTATGCGTAAGAGCAGTTCTTTGATCTGAGCTGTATAATTTGGCAATAAAAAGAAAGCAACAGGTGTTTTGGCTGTATATATAATTACATTCATAAGAGAGGATCAGTTACCGAGCTTATATGTATTGAAAAGATGATTTAGATTTAAAATGCCATTCGAAGTCTAGCAAACAAAAAGCATGTGTTTGATCTGTGTACAGAAAAGCAGCAAAAATTGTCTCAGTTAATATATAATACTAGTGTACAAATTATAACTATCCTTCAGAATTTTTACATCCCGCGGAGTTGATATAACCTTTGGTGTTCAAACGTGTTCATTTTATTCAGAGCTGCTGGCCATTCATGTTCCGTTTTTCTGCTAATGATAGTTATTTGGGGTGCTAAATATTACTCAGTAGAACCAACTAAAACAAGTCCCCAGAAATGAAGACCAATTATTAAAACACATAATTTTTACTCGTAGGATCAGATATCAGAGCCATTACATGTTTGTACCTCATCCCTACCATAATACAACTCTTTCAGTGCTGCCGTAAGACTAGCAAAATACATTTACATTTTGGGGGGGGGGGGAGTCTGAATTTAAAGTTTGTGGGGTATCTCCGCAAAACTATGTAACATCTTAAGAACATCCTTCTATAATAGAACTACTCCAAAGATCTTAACTTCCAAGCCCCCCAAACATATTTAAATATGTTTTGTGTGTGTAAGTGCAAGTGCTTGCTCACTTCATCCAAATTTAATTAAGGTCCAAGGCTTCACAAGGTGCAACTCCAACCAGACCTCTGATGCAACAGAATCCAAATCCTAGAGCTGTTCAATCCTCAGGTCTCAAGTCCAAAGAATCACCGCCAGATGATCTTTTGTTTTCAAATCTCAGACCATCTACCCATTAAAATCACTCCCTCCCTTCCTTCCTTTTAAAATGTATATTCCTACCTAGATCGCCCTTTCTAATAAATATTAGGGGATATTGGGCAACTGGTCACTAGAGATGTCGCGAACTGTCCGCCGAACTGTTCGCAAACTGTCCACTGGCGAACAATAGAGTGTTCGCGTTGGGCGAACATATCCGATTTCCGGTCCGCCCCCTATACGTCATCATTGAGTAAACTTTGACCCGGAACCTCACAGCCAGCAGACACATTCCACCCAATCAGCAGCAGACCCTCCCTCCCAGGAAGTGTCTGCTGACTGTGAGGTTCCGGGTCAAAGTTTACTCAATGATGACGTATAGGGGGCGGACTGGAAATCGGATATGTTCGCCCAACGCGAACACGCTATTGTTCGCCGGCGGACAGTTCGCGAACAGTTCGGCGGACAGTTCGCAACATCTCTACTGGTCACCAAGGCCAAAAATAAGTTTCCCAAGGTCACCTTGGAGACATTGTTCTTGCTTTCTGCATCTAAATAAAATGTCACATACTACTGTCACCCTGAAAGATAAATACAGAATAAGAAAAATTGTGTTAGTCGTCCACCCTTTTGTTTCACAATTGAGCTTCATGTTGTCTTTGTTACAGTTAAAGTAACACAACAAGGAGAAATCAATAGATTTAACTTAGAATTTCTCCAATGCAGCCATTTTGACAATTGTCTATTCTTCAAAATCATTGTTGTGTTTGATAATGAATATGTGGACGGAAATGTTTTCCTCCTTTTATATTTTGTTTTAGGTTTTTCTGTTCCCTTTTAGATTTTATTGATAAAAAAATCTTCAATAAAAAAACATTTTACTAGAAACTCTCATGAGGATGAAAAATATGTAGTCCACCACTCTGATTCTCAAAGGGGTTATACAAGATGCTTATGAAAAATGCATATGACAGCCATGTATCGGAATCAGGAAAGCTTTTTCATGAAAGGAGAGGTCTGGCCACCACAACTGCAACTGTGTCATGTACAGTTTAAGTGATCTCATTCCATCACTGTATGCAGTAGCAGATTGATAGAATACCCCTGTCTTTAATATCCTCTTGTTGAATCTCTTAGAATCTATACTAGCAAAGCATTTGTGTGTCTCAGTTTGAAGTAGTTAAATCCTCCATCCATAATGGTAGAAATGGAATCAAATGTTTATATGATAGTGATGGAAATGTCCAGCAAGTGCAGATTGATGTAGACACATTTCAAAATTCAAGGATAATTGAAATACCATGTCAAAAACTAAAGCTATTTGTTCTGAATAAGATTGGTTTCAACCAGGCTGATGGACAGGTGGCCAATTTTCCTTGACAGGAAAAAAACCAATCAATTTCAGGGACCATTTCTCCATGAATATACACTGCATCTCTTTAAATATTAATGATCTAATGTATTTGCTTGTTACTGCTTATGACTTCAGTTTGTTTTTTCACTTATGCTTTCACAGTGTTGCGTGCATTAGTATTTTGAGCAAGATTCCCATTAAATGTAATTATTTCCCCGCTACTATTGCGGCTGAGAATTTTTGGTATATAACCTTTAAATCCTAAGCATTATAAAGTAGTGATATGTACAATATATTTATTTGTATTTTTAAAGCCACTTTCCATCTCTGTCCTTTCTTTGTTTGTGTGCATGTGTATGTGTAATAGGACAAATTACACATTTTAAATAGTACTCTAAAGGTGATGCACATCAGAAGTGGAAACAAGTGCATAGAAGAGTGAAAAAAATATCAAGCTGCTACTACACCTGTGTACCTATTCCTATCTAACCCAAAACCAAAATTCACAAGAGTGAAAAAATTATGTTCTGGAGAATACCCCCGGAACAGTTACATGGAGCGCTAATGTAACAATTTTGTGAAATTACTTTAATTTAGTAGGAAAAAAATTAATAATAATAATAATAATAAAAAAGAAATATATATATATATATATATATAAACAAAACCAAGAGGGCTGCACTCACCTAAACATGCATACATTATAGGGTGCTGCTGGGGCCAAAATATACAAAATACAGAATCCAGCGCACTCGCTTATTCACTAAACAATGCTTTCAAAATTTTAGAGATTGTAATAGTTTTATTTAAAAACACCTCACCTAGGCAAAAAATAATGGGGGTTTAGTTACATTATATGATCATATATTGCATAAGCCTGCCACAACGTCAATGTACCCCATTCTTGGCATATATATACACACACACAATTGTGCAATACTGTAAACAACAAAATGGGAATGATAATAGTGTATAAAACAAAATTGTGATATGTTATACTCACATGTATGGGACCCTTTAAGAGCAGGCTCTAGCCTCTGGCCTTTGTGTCTTCTGCACATTACCACTCTCCACAGACTACTCTACATATTATGCAGACACAAAATGCATAAACATAAAAGTATTAATTTTTATGTATTTGTGTGTGTGTTTGTAATAGGAAAGAAGGACTATATTAAATCATTTAGCAAAAATATGCCTACTCTAAACTCACATCACATGACCCCATGTTACCAAAATCTGATGAAGGCACCTTGACTTTTTAAAACCACTGTATATCTGTAGAGGTAAGGGGGACGGAAGAAATGCATTAAGGGTGTCCTTCAGTTCAAAATTGGATTGTGCATATATGTAAAATAAGAGGATAGAAGAAATGAATACCAAAACAATGGTAACACACTGACACACTTCACCTAACAGGCTTTTTCAAAGTGTCTTTTGAAAAAGTCTATTAGGTGAAATGCGTCAGTGTCTTGCCATTGTTTTGGTTTTATCACTCTATTTTCAATAAACACTAGTGTTTTTATTCACCGTGACCTTCTTAATTTTTTCCACAAGACTGCTACATTGATTTCTTTGGTGGAAAATATACAACCCATGCAAAATGGATTGAGCGAAACCTTTTTTTGTTCTCCAGCAGTGAGTACATGTATTTTTATTTATTTTATTAATGTTAACAGTAAGCACTATATTTTTATTATTTTCTATGTTATCCTATATTCCATTTTGGTGAAAATTTGCTGATATACCTCTACACATCAAAAAGTGGGAACTTTGTGGATGCATGGATCGCTCCTATATAAACCAGTCATAGGGAGCCACAAACAGGCTCAAAATAAATTGTGACTGCACATACAAATATTTATAATCACTTCAATTTAGTGTACCAAATATACTGCACTATTTCGGTGCTATTTTCTGTTATTGTATACCACCTACAAGACATCATGTATATCCACATATGCTACACTAGATTCTATTCTCCTCTTATTTTACATATCGATACAATCATTGTTGGACTGAAGAACACCCAATATCTTCCTATGACCAGAAAGAAGGGATTCTGGTTTGGGTTGTTCAAGCTGTCCACATATACAAGAAACAAGCGCCAGAAACCATTCACCTCATACTATTACTGTATGCATGTACCCATTGCCTAACAAAAGGAACACTCTAAGTAACATGCTGACTGCAGCTCAATATAGTGCAAATAGTGTATGGATGCTTCTTCGTTGTGTATGTATTTATAGATAAAGGTTTTTGTTTTGTAGTATTGGCTAGGTCACATTTAGTAGATATGGGCCAGCTACACACCACGAGGTGATTCCAGGATTTGATTTATGTTCGTTATGGCTACCTTGATTTGTATGACATCATTAATTTGCTGTTCAAGCCTCTCTTTCGTCTAACCACCTCTCTTTCGTCTAACCCTCTCTCTTCCTCACCTGTTCAGAACATATTTAAGGCGGTTTCTTTGGATGTACACTTGTCCTGTTAAAAGTCCAGATGGTGGAATGTTGACTACTGTGTTTATTACTGCTGTGAATAAATAAAGGCAGCACAGCAAGCAATTGAAAATAAGTCCAGTGAGTGCGGTTTTATTTTATGGTTTGTGTATACGACAGAGGTTGCACCATAAATATAATGAGACGTTGAGATCAGAGTCCTTCTCAATTATACATATAAATATATATATATATATATATATACACACACACATACACACACGCAAGAATGCCTGTTTTTCTGCATTGTCATCAGTAGCCACGTGACTATGAATGATGCTGTTTTCACAATAACTCTTGCCATCACACAGGTTCATTCTTCCCCTACATGTGAGCCAGTTAAATTTGCTCCTGTGTGTTCAGCGCCAGCCTGTCTGCTTTGTTTACTAATGAGAGTACATTATAATCTAATTAAAAACAGAAGAAATTTGGCCCATCTGCTTTGAATTTTTTATAACCCTAGGCTACTGTTAATTCCAACCCCTGTTTACAATGCGCTTTTGGAAGCCTCAATTCTAATGTGCATTTCTGCAGCAAGAAAGGTATTACCTTCATCAGCTGCAAAGGACGTCTTTACTTACTTGTGAAGATGCAAAATCCAACTTTTCAAGTCCAACCATATATCTGTTTTTGCTGGTTAACAACACAAGTCTTTTACGTTCCAGGAGATTCTTAAAGGTCTTGATTAATTCAAGGTAGGATGTTGAGGTGACGTAGATATGCCTTTGCAGTGATTCAAAAAACCTGTTCACAATTAAAAAAAATACCTTCGCATGAGTCACAGTTGAAAATAAAAGATGGACAACACAACATATTTCATTATTACTGTGGGATGCTGCTTTCCAATATAAATGCACATTTTGTCCTCATCAATCCCAGTGAATGACTTTTTCAGTTTTCACAGAAAAGCAAAGCACAGAAGGCATTTTTACGTTAACAAAAAAAAAAAAAAAACTTCATTTCCACTTCATCAGCTCCAAGGTTAGGTCAGCAGAAAAGGCAGTTGCTCGTGCTTATGAATATTTTATGGGATCCAATAACAATATATTTTCTTTCATTTTTTTTTTTTTGGAATAAGTTAGGGGTATGCTGGTCATGAAAATATTGTATAACTTAATGACCATATGAGTAACCTCTTGTGCAAGCAAAAAAAGAAAAATCTCTCTCCATTTATTTATTACAAAGATTTATTCCTAGACACAATGCAAATTAATGAAGATTAAATATAATACCATGAATAGTATTTCTGTTTCATATCTGTTCTGCTTGAAGTACCAAACTAAATGACTTGTTATTATTACCACTGCAAAGATTCCACATAATGTTCATACAATAGGATTGGTGAAGAAGAGCTAGCTGTAGTGATTGAATATTACCTACCTAAACTATTGTAACCTTTAATTTTCAAAAGTAAACACTCCAATCACATTAAAAAACAAAAACAAAAAAAAAAAAACATCACAAACAATGAGGAGCATTCTATTAAATAAAAAAAATAGGTTTAGATATTCATGATAGGTAGCAGGATAAAAATATGAATGCTTGAAAGCTATGCCAGTTAAACTGAATGAACTAAAAGTATTATTATTATACCAAATATAACCCTTTTAATTTAAATGTAAAAAAAAAAAAAAAAAAAAAGATAATCAAATCAAGCATGGTTTCTGGTTAAATAAGGGATTTGATTAGTGGCCCACAGAAGTACCTAAGCAGAGCTTCTGAAAACCTGTTCAGACCTCGCAATCACAGGTTAAATTCACAGCAGGGTCAAATTAGCATTTCCTACATCCTGAGCTGCTAATATAAATTCGGGTACAATTTAGTTGGATATCGGTAACATTTATAAGTTTAGGATATACTTGTCAACTAAAAAAATCCAAGTGTGTTCTTCCCTGTGAAATATGTTATTGCTGTTATTATTATTATATAAAACACAGAGACAATAGTAAATACATACATAAACAGAGTAATAGAGAAGATTTATGAATATGTGGGACATTGAGAACTTATGCAGCCTCATTTTTTAAAGGATTTTCCAAGAAGTACCTTAAGGTAAATGGTAAATATTATGTTTTGTACAGATAGCCAAAGAGTAATATTTCTACTATAAACCATTAACCATTGTGGTACACAAACCAGAGGTTGAGGTACGCCACAACAGAAAACTAAAGATTTTATTGGCTTTTGATGAAACGGTAAGATGAAATACAGGTTGCGCCTAATGGTCATGGGATATAAATATATTGCCTGTTTGTTCTTAATAGTCCAAAATAGGTCTTTAAGGTGAAAAAATCCTCTGTAGGGTGGGTAATTCTAGTAAAGTCTAATATCCTCAACAGCTCAGCAGTAGTGATGTCGCGAACCGTTCGCGAACTTGCCGCGAACGGTTCGCCACGAACTCCGGTCAGCTGACACATCCCTGCCAATCTCCGGCAGACCCTCCCTCCCAGACCTTCCCACCTCCTGGACAGCATTCATGTTGAAGCTGCATTCAACATGGATGCTGTCCAGGAAGTAGGATGGTCTGGGAGGGAGGGTCTGCCGGAGATTGGCAGGGATGTGTCAGATGACCGGAGTTCGCGGCGAACGGTTCATGGCGAACCGCGGCAAACCGTTCGCGGCAAGTTCGCGAACGGTTCGCGACATCACCAGTCAGCAGATGAAATATGTAAAGAAACCCCCTCACAAACTTGGCATTTGATAGTGTAATATTTTCAGAAAATGGTGTACTATTATGAGAAAAAAATGAAAATACACTCACAAGTAAAGAGCTACCATCTAGCTCAAGATCAACAGCTTGTGACAATATAGTCAACTTAAGGGATATAGCTGATGATTAAACATGCTGGACATGCAACATGTGTGGTTGTAGACTTTACCACAGCCTGATTGGTGTTTCTCACAGATAATATGTGAATAAAAATAATAATAAAAAAGGGATACCAATAGTGTTGCATATTTTGTAATAAGTGGTTTAAGTAAAATAAAAAGTCAAAGACACACTCACAAACGCAGAGCTTTACAATCAGGCCCAAGCAGTTTGGAGCACTGGAATCTCCGCTCTGGGATAGCGCTCCATGCTGTTTACGTTGCATGTTCTGCATATTTAATCATCAGCTATATCTCTGACATTGATTATATTGTCACAAGCTGTTGATTTAGAGCTAGTTGAAGGGTATTTCCATTTTTTTTCATAATAGTACACCATTTTCTAAAAATACTACACATCAGAAGCCTATTTTGTTGTTACATATTTCATCTACTGACCTGTTGAGGATATAAGACTGTTATCGGAATTGCCCACCCTACAAATAATTATTTCACCATAACAACCTATTTTGATCTATTAGGGACAATCAAGCAATTTAGTTTTTAGAATTATATTTCTTTCTTTCATTAATTGTTAGTCTTGTATTTACTCCCATAACCATTAGTCACAACCTATATTTTATCTTGCAAGTTCCTCCATTAACCTGTTTTGGGTTTGAGGGTACCCAACAATATCTCAGAGCAGTCACATGGCTCGCGGGGGACAATTTGCCGAGGGGGGACTGTCTTGGCTGTCAGACAGTCCCCCCAGAATGGGAGGAACACCGATTGGCGGTGGGGGAACGTCGGGGATCCTGTAAGTGGGGTGGACTGCGGGGACGTTGACCTTAAGGTGTTAAATATAGAGTGCAAGTAAACATATTACAACCAAGTCACAATTCCTCTTCGACTTGTGCATAGAGAAAAAAATAAATGGTTTGTCTTTTCCTCCAAAAATGTTTGTCCCAGTGTGGTTTCAGTTCAAATTAATTTTGTCTATGCGATTATTTCACGAATCTTTAACATAATTTTACAAGAAAATGGAATATCACAAAAAATGTTAACACGAGTTCCAATGGTTTGTTCAATGACATAATGTCCAGAGAAGTTACAGGTCCCCTTTTAATAAAAAAAGATAATTATGTGTTCATACTGGTTAAAAATCATTAAAAATATTCATTGTAACAGC